CTATTCTAATTTCTATTCTATTCTAATTTCTATTCTATTCTATTCTATATCTTAATCACTTTCACATAAATCATCTGGCCACGCCTATAATCTCTAGCCCATTTTGGAGCTGATGTCCAAACATTCATGGAACCATGTATGAATAAATGGAATAAATAGAGTTATAAATAAAATAGGGGATTGGGAGTGAATATAAATAAAATCACTGACTGGGAGTGATTGAAATTCTAGACCAGCATTTCTCAACCATGACCACTTTAAGAGGCGTGGACTTCAACTCCCAGAATGCTGGCTGGGGAATTCTGGGAGTTGAAGTCCACCCCCCTTAAAGTGGCCACGGTTGAGAAACACTACTATAGACTGTCTCTGAACACAGCCTGACCAGAAAGTTGCCAACGATGCTGTATGCATTGGGTGCAAACAAAGAGGACTAGCACCATGAATGTCCATAAACCTGGTCCGATGATGAGGATATTCTGATCTGGTCCCTTTTGGGAAAGAGAAATCTTTTCTGACTCACAGAGCTTGGCAAAGATGTAGGGAATTGAACCCTGGGCTTCAGGCAAGCCAGAGTGTCCGATCAGAGTTACTCACCGTGGCTCGTATATGTGTCTTTGCTTCTCTTAGTTCCTGCCGAAGCCCTTCGGTTAAAGCCGTGACAGCGTACTTTGTGGCGCTGTAAAAGTGTACGACCGACTCTTGGACCACCTTGTGACCACTCATGCTGGACACGACACACAGGAGGAGGAAGGAAAGGCAAAAGAAGGGGAAAATATTCAGTGTCGGTAGTCCTCAACCACAGTTGAGCCGGCCTTTTAGGTTGCTAAGCGAGGCAGTTGATAAGTGGTGCCCCAGTTTATGACCTTTTTTGCCGAATCACTGCAATTATTGAGTGAAATACACACACACACACACACACTCACATTGCACGTATATACACAGATAAATAGATAGATGCACAGACAGACAGACAGACAGACAGACAGACAGACACCATGAGTTCTACTGAAAGCCAGCTGGGTGACTTTGGACCAATCACTAGCAGACTGAGAGTGCTAGTCCCGCCTTAGGCATGAAAGCCAGCTGGGTGACTTTGAACCTGTTACTGTTTCTCTCTCAGCCCAACCTTCCTTGCAGGGTTGTTGTGCGGAAAATAGGAGGAGTTAGCCTCTTTGAACTATTTATCAAAACAATAAAGGCAGAAAATAAATAAATAAGTTAAATAAATAAGCAAGTGAGTAGATAGATGGATGGATGGATAGATTATAGATAGATAGATAGATAGATAGATAGATAGATAGATAGATAGATAGATAGATAGAAAGATAGATAGATAGATGAATAGCTAGATAGCTAGATAGATAGATAGATAGATAGATAGATAGATAGATAGATAGATAGATAGATAGATAGATATAGCTAGATAGCTAGATAGAGATAGATAAGAGATAGAGATAGAAATAGAGATAGATAGATAGATAGATAGATAGATAGATAGATAGATAGATAGATAGACAGACAGACAGACAGACAGGAGATAGAGATAGATAGACAAGAGAGAGAGAGAGAGAAGATAGATAGATAGATAGATAGATAGATAGACAGATAGATAGATAGAAGCGAGAGAGAGATACATAGATAGATAAATAATAGATAGATAGATAGATAGATAGATAGATAGATAGATAGATAGATAGATAGATAGATAGATAGAAGCGAGAGAGAGATACATAGATAAATAAGAGATAGATAGATAGATAGATAGATAGATAGATAGATAGATAGATAGATAGATGATAAATGTTCATTTGTGCAACTTCCCCACCTGTTAATGTTGATGATGTGTCCATCGTCAATGTTTCTTTCCTTCATGGATTGGTAAGTCTCTCGCGTGCAAATGCTGACCGCTAAGATATTGACCTGGGAGAAGAACAATGAAGAGAAGAAGCCTTGAGAAAATCAATCAGGGACTTTGAATTTAAATAAATTAGCAATTACCATCCCTGTAACTAACTTTCCATGCTGCCAGCAACAACCTCTGTGGGCTTCTCGGAGATCTCCCGCATTTGCAGTCCTATCAAATTTTCTTTTTAATGAAGATGAAGGTCTTATGCTTAGACGCTTTCAATTATTTTACCATTTTTCTTTTCCTCTTAGGCCCGCAATTATATTTGCTTTCGGCTGGTTAATGACTGTAATAAAAGGTTGGGTTGTATTTGATAACAATAAATGAGGAGTTTAAATAAACGGGTGAAAATATGCGAGAAGAACTAATCTTACAAGATTCTGATATACTTCTCTGGATGCCCAAAAGAGGTGGGTGCAAAAAATAATAATAAATGCAAAAATCGTGCAAGATTTTAAAAGGAGGTCAAAATGTCGTGCAGCCTGGTGAAGCTCTGAGATGTTGGAGGTGTGGGAGCATTTGAAAGCTTTTGCCATTGTTTAATTGAGGAAATACCTGAACAGTTCACTGACCCCTGAGGTAAATAATTTGAACAAAACACTAAAGGTCAAATGAACAAACAATGCTTTAGTATGCCTCCTTCCAGGGAAGAGGGGGAGGAGGAAGCACAAGGAGGTTGAGGTTGAGATAGAGGCAAAGGAGGAGGAGGAGGAAGAGAAGGGAGAGAAGAAAGAAGGTTGAGGTTGAAATGGAAGAGGAGGAGGAGGAAGCACATGAAGGAAGTTGAGGTTGAGATGGAGGAAAAAGGGAAGGAAAAGGAGAAGGCAGAAGAAGGAGGTTGAAGTGGACAACAAGGAGGAGGAGAAAGCACAAGAAGAAGGTTGAGGTGGAGATGGAGGAGAAAGGAGGAGGAGGAGGAGGAGGAGGAGGAGGAGGAGGAGGAGGAGGAGGAGGAAAAAGCACAAGAAGAAGGTTGAGATGGAGATGGAGGAGAGAGGAGGAAGAGGAGGAGGAGGAGGAGAAAGTACAAGAAGAAGGTTGAGATGGAGATGGAGAAGGAGGCAGAAGGAGGAGGTTGAGATGGACAACAAGGTGGATCAGAAAGCACAAGAAGAAGGTTAAGATGGAGATGGAGGAAAAAGGAGGAGGAGGAGGAGGAGGAGGAAGAGGAGGAGGAGGAGGAGGAGAAAGCACAAGAAGAAGGTTGAAGTTGAAATGGAGGCAAAGGAGAAAGCAAAGTAGGAGAAGGAGAAAGTACAAGAAGGAGGTTGAGGTTGAAATGGTGGCGAAGGAGAGGGAGAAGAAGGACAAAGAGAAAGTGAAGATGAAGGAGAAGAACAATGAGAAAAGAGAGGAAAAGTATATGGAAAAAGAGGTGGTTGGGGTAGAGCAGCAGAAGAAAAATAATGAGAGGAAGAGAAAGAAGAAGAGGAGGAGGAGGTGGTTGAGGAAGAACAGAAGGAAGAGGGACAGAAGGGTGAGGAGGAAGAGAAAGAAAAGAGAAATGATACAAAAGAGGAAGAAGGAGATGGTGGTTGAGATAGAGCGGAAGGAGCAAGAAATCAATCAGTTATGTTGGCGCTGTCAACCACTTGGATGAGCTGGGAAACCCAAAACGACAGAGCCACGTACAAGTACAAATTTGACTGTGGAAGATGTCAAGGGTGCATCAGCCCACGTGGAGGAACGTGAAGTTTCTTGGCCTGCTGAACATTTTGGCATCAGTTGACCCTCTGCGGGTGGGTCGAGAAGGTTCCCCAGAGATTCCTTTCCCCCCCTCTACTCACATCTATCATGGTTCTCCAACCTTCGGTCTTGCCAGACAGCAAAGGTTCCGGCCGCGCCAAGCCAGCATTGTTGATGCAGACATCAACGCCCTGGTGGAGAGTCTTGATGGCGGAGAACATGGAGAGAATCTCTTCTTCCACCGAGAGATCACATTTATATGGGATGAGGACGCCCGGATAGCCGGCGCTCTCGCACTCGGCTGCCAACTTCTGAAAGGGGAACAGATCAAGACAAAAAGATGGAATAACTGGAATGTGTTGGTATTTTTAGATGCACATTTTCACATTCCATGAAAAGAAAAATCCCAAAGGGGAGTGTTCTATCGCCGGAACAAGATAGACTCGAGACCGAGTTGGGTTCAGCTCTTTATTTAACTGTCAGTAACTTCAACTAAACTCGAGCCGCAGCAGCCTCTTTTATAGCGGCTGCTCGCGGCTCGCAACCAATGGCATTATTTTAAACCTCCCGCCGTTTGGGCGGCCAATCATAATCTGTTGTTAACCACCAATCGCTAGGCGGTAGTGATTGTCCAATCGGAACGTAGTATTACGAGTATGCAAATGTCTAT